GATCTTAAATGGTCCTTTTGTGCTGTTTCTTTATGTGGAATTTGATAAAGCTGTATTGTAATTAGTTATGAAACTCTAATATTGTGTGGTTAACCTTTTTCAGGTTCAGCCCTTTCCGCTAAGCTATTCCTAATTACTAAAATATCAAATATGTCGAGATTTACTGAACTCCAACTTCAAATATTGATGATTTTAGTATTCCCCAATCTAACAAGAATTTCGCCGCGGTAAAACCACGCACGATCAAATTTCCCTACTGCCTACAATGTAATTGTTTTACTTTATTGTATCCCAGAGTGGTGTTTGGCGCACATGTAACATGATAATCGTTTTCGATATATTTGGCGTGCCACGTGCAGAACTTGAAAATTCTGCGCGCATTTTTGTAGTGTCGCGTTGATCTGTGTACGTGTGGTTTGGTTGTAGATCATTTCATATTTTGCGTGATTTGTTTCGTGTTAACGATGTGTATTATGTCACGTCATATTATTGCATCGTCGTAATAAGTATGCCAACTTTTTTGACTGGAATAGAATATTCTGTCTCATCTTAGTTATTATAACTATAAGTATCTAACATAAACTAATACATTTTGATGCTTACTCGACACATCTACAGCACCATCGACTATATAATAGGAATCCTATAATATAGGAATCTTTAAAAGCATACCGCAATCTTGATCTTAGTTGCTTCTTGAATGTAAATGTAAAGTAACATCTGTTCTTAAATATGTAAATGTAATCGCTTTTTACCATTCAGTGTCAATCAACTGTTAAATAATCGGCCACGAGTTTATCAGCTGATGTAATAATTTAGTTTGTTCTGAATTTTATCACTCGGTAATTTATTAAAAAACTAGCGGCAATAGCGGATGAATAGTGGAACCTAGCGGATGCCTAGCGGATGCCTAGCGGAGAGCTAGCGGAAATTTAACAGTCGTCAAGCACCTAAAACTGGTTGCTATGCCTGCAATTAATTAACACATAACTGGCGTCGCGCGCGCAAAATAGGTTCCTTTTATACACATAATTATATGGGAGTGGTCTATATTGCGAAGGAGCAGACTTTTGTCATCATCGTAGGACCGTCGAGCCACCTCATATATCCAAACCCGATTACTTATTCCCTACGATCTTTTTGCCTTCGGCAAGAGCAGGGAAAAAAATCTTCGAAGTTTTTCTGCAAAGCATTTTTATCCACGTTTCATGCAATTCGATCACTTTTGGCGGAAAAAAATATTTTAAAATTTTCAAACTTTTTTCCAAGTCTCGAAAAAAATTTTTAAGTGAACAATTTTTGAAGTTTTTCTAAAAACTACATTTCTCCGTGTTTCAAACGATTTCAATCATTTTGAGCCAATAAAAAATTTTCACTTTTTTTGGTGATTAACTAATTGGTAATTATCCAATTAGCTGATTGTCAAATGTCAAAATTTTTCATACAAAAGTTTTACTCCTTGATAAGATAAACATTCTAGGTTAATTTGCAGCCTTCTACGACGTTCACAACTAAAGATATTTGGCAAACCAGAAAGGTGGTACAAAGGTGGTAAAAAGTGGTAAAAGTGGTGTTTCTGTTGAGATACAAAATTGGCAACAAGTCTAATTATGTTCGTAGGGGTCCTAACTACCATATTCCGTTGAGAAATCCTTGTGAACATTCAAATCCAACGGAACCCTTAAATCGACCAATTTTCCCCTTACTACAGGGACAAAAGGATTTCGCGATTATTTTGGCCAAATTTCGCGGTACCGCGATTTTTAACAGACTATACATTAAACTATACATAAAATTTGTCGCAAAAAATGGGAAAAATCGCGATTCCGTACATGCCGCGATTTCCTTTTGTCCCTGTCCGCTCCTACTATGCAATTACTAGCCTCTGGACTAACTCCCAATCATCTGTCCATATAATGGTGTTTCTGGACAGATAGATGGTGTATGATGCCCTCATGCTAATTTCAGCGATCTTCATGCAGGCCTTTTTCTCTTTAGTGTTTACGTTCAAGGTGCAGTGGTTCATAAAGGTTTGGAGGCTGCAGTTGTAAATGCCTCGAACTCGAACTCGAACTGCTACTGTCTGGAGCTTGCAATCTCTTCTGTCAGCTGCTAATATCTCTTCATATTCTTTTATCTTGATCAGCAAAGTTCTCCTCATTCAGATGCACCTTCTTCGCTTTATCTGAATAGATCACTACATCTGGTCTCAGTGGTATTACACTAATGTAATGTCTAACAATAACGTTCATAAGTGCTAAAATTTCGAACTAGCGGACCATATTGGAGGAGAAATTTGGGACAGTTTTTTGCTTGGAAATACTGATTTAATCGAATTTTAACCACAAAAATGACTCCCAATAATATTCTTATGGAGAGTGTGGATAAATATTAAATATTTAAAATAATACAGGTTTGACTATAATGAAGTTGTGTCAATAATCATGTAAAGAATAATAGACAACCTACAATCTTAGTTTGGTAAACCAATTTGGTATCTTTCCTGTTTAGCCAAAATTACTCAATATGTAAAACTAAAAGAAGGATTATAACCTACAATCTTTGTTTTATTAGTGAACTTGAATATCTTGCAACTTGTTAAGACCACATTTAAAATGCTTTGATATAGACTTTACATCATGCCGGATGTACCTTATAGAAATCATGTATCTAAAAGAGAATGATCTAGATGCGGATGATTAGTAGTTAGAAATCGGATCGATGTAGCAGAAAAAAGCAAACCCTAGCAAAGAGTGCAAGTGTTTTTATAACAAAATTCAGACAATTGTCTCGCCCATCGCCTGACATTTTAGGGTTTTTAACCCCTATCACCAATGAACCGGGTGCTTCCGAATTTATACCGAAACCCATATTGGAAGAAAACACCCGATCTACAACATCAAAGCACATTTAAATAACTTGAGCACAAAACTGGTAAAAAAAAGACCAAAGTTGTTGCCCAATTTGGTATTTTTCCTCACGCGTGTAGCCAAAATGACCGATTTTTGTCAATATCTTAACAAATAAGCATTAAAGGGCTTATATTGCTTTATAAGTTGTATATAAATGTGATGTTTGCGCTCATTTTAAGCTAAAATTCAAGTCTCTACGATTTTCCTAGTTCAAGTTATCAAAATTCAGTCCCATTTTTGGTTCGCTGAGACAAAAAACAGTTTTTTGTCAATATCTATAAAACAAAGCACTGGAGACCTTATGTTGCTTCATAACTTGTATATAAATATGGCCATTGCGGTAATTTTAAGCTAAAATTGAAGTCTCTATGACCTTCAGGAGCTGAAATACAAAAATCCCGTATACGCGACTGAGGGTAATTTAGAAAATTTGCCCTGTAGGGTTATGTCTAGCGACACAAATTGCGTACCTAAACGATTTTGGTTAAGAATGATCTAACAAACAACCCTGTGTTGTCAGAAATCGTATACATCGAAGTGCACACTCAACTATTCCCTGCTACTGGAGTAATTGTGTCAAATGACATCTATAGTTGACTGACTAATTGGTTACTGGATCGAAATTCAGTCAAAACTGTAAAATTTCGGTCCTGGAAATTTCCTCCTCAAAAACTGAAAATGGGACAAGAAATTGGAGAATATGATTTTACCATTTTTCGGCGATTTTGACTTCCAGTACTCCAATTTGGTCTCATACCATCCTTAGTCAACTGAATAATTGGTCGCTTGGCAAAAGGTCCATCAAATGTGTCAAATTTCTGTTCAGAAATTTTGATATTTGAAAATGGGACAGACTTTTGAAAATGTGAATTTTCGTTTTGGAAAACTTTCTGCAGTAAGCTTCCTCCGACCGGAATCAAACTTCCAGCACCTCAATTGTGTCAAATGGCATCTATAGTTGACTGACTAATTGGTTACTGGATCGAAATTCAGTCAAAACTGTAAAATTTCGGTCCTGGAAATTTCCTCCTCAAAAACTGAAAATGGGACAAGAAATTGGAGAATATGATTTTACCATTTTTTCGGCGATTTTGACTTCCAGTACCCCAATTTGGTCTCATACCATCCTCAGTCAACTGAATAATTGGTCGCTGGGCAAAAAGTCCATCAAATGTGTCAAATTTCTGTTCAGAAATTTTGATATTTGAAAATGGGACAGACTTTTGAAAATGTGAATTTTCGTTTTGGAAAACTTTCTGCAGTAAGCTTCCTCCGACCGGAATCAAACTTCCAGCACCTCAATTGTGTCAAATGGCATCTATAGTTGACTGACTAATTGGTTACTGGATCGAAATTCAGTCAAAACTGTAAAATTTCGGTCCTGGAAATTTCCTCCTCAAAAACTGAAAATGGGACAAGAAATTGGAGAATATGATTTTACCATTTTTTCGGCGATTTTGACTTCCAGTACCCCAATTTGGTCTCATACCATCCTCAGTCAACTGAATAATTGGTCGCTGGGCAAAAAGTCCATCAAATGTGTCAAATTTCTGTTCAGAAATTTTGATATTTGAAAATGGGACAGACTTTTGAAAATGTGAATTTTCGTTTTGGAAAACTTTCTGCAGTAAGCTTCCTCCGACCGGAATCAAACTTCCAGCACCTCAATTGTGTCAAATGGCATCTATAGTTGACTGACTAATTGGTTACTGGATCGAAATTCAGTTAAAACTGTAAAATTTCGGTCCTGAAGATTTCCTCCTCAAAAACTGAAAATCGGACAAGAAATTGGAGAATATGATTTTACCATTTTTTCGGCGATTTTGACTTCCAGTACCCCAATTTGGTCCCATACCATCCTCAGTCAACTGAATAATTGGTCGCTGGGCAAAAAATCCATCAAATGTGTCAAATTTCTGTGCAGACTTCAGAACTAATGAAAGTAGGTTTAAGATTTATTTCTAACTCTGTACTTCACATGAATTCAAATTCATTTGTACGACTTTATTTCATTTTCACTCCTTCCTTTTTTCACTTTCACTCCAACTTTATTTCACTTTCACTTCTCATTATTTCTACACCACACAGGTATCTCACCAGTCCGATAGTTGGGCAGTAAAGCTCCAGAAGCTTCTCCTCTTCAAAGCAACAGCTATATTCCTGCACGAGTCTCAGAGGTGTCAGGGTTCTGCTGTCTTCACTAACGCCCTGCTCAGTCTTACTACTATTGATGCTTACAATTCTCTACTTTACTTTAAAGGTAAGTTGCTGTTACTACGTTAGTTTATAGATGTCAAACCTTTTATTTGTGCTTGGTTTTATGCTATTTTTGAGGAAATTTGACATATTTTATCGGTATGATCCACAACTTAAATATTATGTTCAAATCTCGCTTGTGTCTTTATGTGTCCTAGGTTAATTATAAACCTCTTACCCCCAGATACGAAGTACACACACGGGTACGGGTATGACATATTACGTTGCTTAGTGCTGTGTCACGTGGCTGACACGTTACTTACTGAGATACTGTCTGCTAATATGAAGGTTAGTTTAAATACCATCCTCTGCAAAGTTATTATTAGGTAGCAGTCCTGTTCCTGGAAGAGTTTGCATCTTTGTCACTTCGCCACATATGACGCCACATATCACCAATAATGGTGTTCTATCACTCTCTGGCTTATAACACATGTGTTTCAATAAGAACATGACGTGATATACTGCAACTGGTTCTTCTCCTTATTTTACATAAATATATGGTATGTCGTACACGTATCTGAAACTGTGGAAATAAGGTTTACAAATGTACACATCTAGTAACAACTGCAAAGAACAAACATTCAAAAAATTTAAATTATAACTTATCTTTGTTCATCTGAATGGTTTTATTTAACAACACTATAACAATTAAACAGTTAACTCCCCTACTCCTCCTAATTAATTAATTAGCACTATAACAATTAAACAGTTAACTCCCCAACTCCTCCAGAGCTCCACATCTCTGTCTACACTGGACAGCATTCTTCTCAGTCTCAACAACTACGCAAGAAGTTTTGATATAAACTGCACCAAGATATTTGAGTGGTGCTATTTTCTGGTGCCTGAGGGAAATATCAGTAAACGTGTGTTTAGGTGAGTTTTGTGACGTCATAGGTAACGTGATATGACGTCATGTTAGGTTTACAATTAATATTGTTTCACACAAATTGGAAACATAATTCGACTTAATTACCAGGAAATTTCTAACATTAATAATTTTATAACGTGTAACATTTCTACTTTTCTAGCATTGAGCACGTGCAAAATGACACGTAACATGTGACCCACCTAACACGTGACCCACCTAACACGTGACCCACCTAACACGTGACCCACCTCAGCACCCAATATGACACCAGAGAAACAGGCCTACTGCTGTGTCTTGACATGTACTTAGAAGCGAGTGAGTACGAGAAAGACTGGTCTGTTAGGAAGCTGGGGTTCGTGTACAACGAGCTAGCTTCTTATAATTTGAACCTTATCTCACTTGAGGAGACTATTCAGGTTACTTGAGTTTAGTTATCCGTACAATTAACTTATTAAATAATGGTTACTAACTTGGTCGAACATCAATCGTTTGGTTCCGAAGAAGTTTATTTTATTTATTCAGACCGAGACTTCAATTAGTTGCTCGTTCAATTAAAAGCTTGATCTCAATTATTAACCACTTCACGTGATCACTTAATTGTAAATCACAATAAAATTAATATCGACATTCCAGGAAGACGTTGCTAAGAAGCTACTAAAACAGAGCTTCGAGCACTACAAATCAGCCCTGAACCACTTCCAAGACTGCACAGATATACACAACATAGCTCTGGTGTACAGCAACTTGGGAAAGGTAAATAAAATACTAATTCAAAACATAATGATACATAAGATCAGCACAAATATTCATAAAAATATAATTTTTAAATTATTTAAATTATGAAATTAAATAATTAATTTCAATAATTAAGAAACTGTTTACACCAATAAAATATTCAAAATCCCTAAAAGAAATCAAGTCATCCTAAAATGGTGATCAGTACATATCAAGACAGCTAGAGTAAAAATTTGTTTCTCCAAGCAGCTCTATCATCGGCTAATATCTTAAGCTTATTAGGATCATTCAAAGAGTTAAGTTTTAAACCTCTACGGGTCAAATCATTCACAATAATCTTGAACAAATTCTTACGATGCGCACCGACGCGCCCTTTACAGTTTGTTGTGACAGCAAACTTTAACGCTAATGCAGCGGGGGAGTCATCAGCACTACGCAAGATATGACCTAGGAGCTTCCACCTTGCTTTAGGGACACGATCTGATAGCTTTACTGAGTTACATCTTAGGTATAAGTTTGCATTGGATATTGTTCCATGAGGCCAATAAATGTTCAGTAATGATATAAGGTGTTTTCTATGGCAAATGTCTAGTTTTTCTAGTGACTTTGCAGTAGGACACCAACTACTGCAATTGTACATGATGATTGATACAATTTGGGCTTCGTATACTGCTATCTTTCTGGTAACGGAGATATTCTGCTGAGACCAGATCTTGGTGAACTTATAGAAGGCATTGTTCCCAGCAATGCATCGAGCAGCTATATCACTTTCACTACACAACAATGACCCGAGAATCTTACTCTTCCGCCAATCTTCATTTCCACGTAACATATTTCAATTTCAATAGGTTATGAGGATATCCGGACAGTTACAAGCTCGTTTCTACTACGGCTCTGGAGAAAGGGGCGAGTTGTTGTATGAAGAGAAAGAGTTTTACAAGGAGGCTATTGGTTACTATAACAACGCACTCGACACTCTTCGTAAACCGTCAGTACTTAATATTTTATTTTTAAAAGACAATTTGAGAAAAATCTAACATTGTGGATATTACAATTTTCGACATTTCTCTTCAACGATTTCTGAAACTATTTCCCACGTGACATCCCGTCATTACGTGACACTCCCCTCAGATCAGTACAGAAAGATATCTGGTGTGCAGTATCTAACGAGTTATCAGGCGTTTACTTCACCATGGCAACAGTAATGCAGGATTGCAGTGCAAGTAGCAGTGATAAGGGGGAGGTTATCAGAGAAGTTACAAATCTTTACAACAAGTCACTCAGAATCAGTGAGGTTAGTCGTGTGCTTTAAATATAAGGTTACGATGAAAATGTAGGTACCGTGGATGTAGCGTGTAAGGTGTTTTACATCGAACCTTGCGTGGCTCCAATATGTAAACCAAGTTGGTATACATATTTGAGCGACGTGATAGTAAGGATGCAAACCTTATTCCGTATTTCTATATTTTGTGCTCTCTCGCAATTCCAGGCCAGGGTATATAGTACAGTAGACGGATTATCCAATAAAAGCAGTCAATAACGTTTTATTATATTGAAACTGAACATTTGCAGGGGCTTGTTCGGGAAGGGTTCACTCCCGCGACTGGTAGAACAGGTGGGACCCACCACAAGCTAGCAAGTCTATACCACGCGCAGGCGCGCGACACCTGCCACAGCGTGCGCAAACTCAAGCGCTTATTCTCCCTCTCTGACTCCAACTACCAGAAAGCCATGTCCTACTTTAAAGAGAGTGGGTTTGAGATGGAGTATATACAAGTAGTTATGGAGTTTGTTGGGTTACTTCAGTACAGTTCTACCGCGCCTTGTTCTGCACTATCAGCTTGTAGCACACTTCTTAGCAAACTACCACGCTATTTAAAGGTTGTTTCTCTCGGAACTTCCAGGGAAAATGAACAAGTCAAGATGCTGTCGTTGCTGAGGGATCAGACTTTGTCGCTGTTGAAGTCTATAGTGTTGCTTGTTAAGCAAGGGAAATCTGTGGATGGATTTGTTTGTGAAGGAGCAAGTGGGGGTGGTGGCGCTGGGCATGATGCCAAGATGCTTTACGCTGCAGCGTTGCGGGGGTTTCAAGGGTTTGATGTTCAGAATGGGGTGGTGGTTTTAACGAAACAAGTTTCGGATGTTTTGAAATTGTTAGAATAATGATCAATATATTTGAATCTGAAAACGATTTATTTAGTGAAGTTTTGAGACGTTTTCTAGTCAAAGGGATAATAATTTATGAATTTTGGTGGCATAAAATTTGTTGATTTTTGTAAAAATTTAACCTTAAGTAAGAAGATTATTTTATTTCTAAAATTATTTTGTGAAACATTAGATATTCGTGTAGAGTGAGAATGTGCAAGTTTTGATCGGCCTAAGTTTTCTAGTCAAATATTCAATTAATCGAAAGCTGTGTTGTATTTGTATAACAAAATAATATATTGCTTCAGTGCCATGTTTATAAGCACCCCCACACGCCACAATCAAATTTAATCTCATATTGGATTCCGCTCGATCAACGGCTTCATGGCTTAGTTGGTTAAAGCGCCTGTCTAGTAAACAGGAGATCCCGAGTTCGAATCTCGGTGAAGCCTTTTGTGTCTCCCGCTACAACGTACTATCTCAACATTTGACCATCTTAATATGATGTGAACAATACCAAAAATAAATCTTTGGAATTGGTAAATTTATGATAAGATCATTAAATTACTGAACCAGTAAGTTTACCTTACTTACTGTATTGACTATTTATCAAAATATGGTGGTTCGTTTTTTGTTTGCGCTCATCAGCCTTGTATGTCGGTCCCACGTTTTGAATGTATGTTCTGTGACGCGCTCAAACTTTGTCACAGAAGCAAACGCGCAAAATAGCGCGTTCCCAAGTACGTATATAGCTATATAGCGCTATTTGGTGTTGTGGAACATGTGAGAATATTTTAGAAAGGTCCCCGTTTAATACTGTCACTCGATTGGGCGGAATTGCGTAGTTGTGGAACACAACAAGAAAATTGAGAATAATCTTGTGCGAGGGTAGGGACCCAGATGTCGTTTCTAACCCAAATAAACTTTAAGGAGGCTTCTCATCAGTAGCCGCACCTCCTTACTCGGTTTCTGAACTGGAATTCTATGGGCTTCCAGACGGCCAGACCGAGTATTACCACCCCATCCTTCTAGAGTTCATCACAAGTAGCACCCACCTTGAAGATCTTTGACACCCAGACACACCCCATTGGATATAATCTTACATGCTCCCGAAGGAATCCCTGGTTTATGGTCTTTCTCATCGTCACCAGCACTTTCACTAGAGTCACCAGCCCTTTCACTGGAGTCATCAGCCCAATCACTGAAGTATACAGAAGTATAGTTGTGGAACAATATCTTGAGAATGGTAATACAAAGTTTATTGAATCTACCCATTTTTGGTAAAAATTCACACTCAGAATTGAGTTGGATTATTTGATACGGGATTGGGGACGATACGGGTTTTATGTAAACAAAGAAACAATCTGATTAACCATAGAAATTATAAGTCGTAAATCACAAAATTTATACAAATGGAACCATAGCAAAAATAAAACAAAATTTAAAAGACAAAACGCCATAAGTTTGCCCCTTTTAATGTACAAAATTCCGCCATTACAAGTCTCCCCTATGAAACCCTGCTTCCTGATTTTCATAAATCGTCGGTTCCATAAATTCTGAATCATCCTCAGATTGAGATAAATCCTCATACCGACGATCAAGTGACCCAAACTGGTCCACTACGAACTGGTCCATATTTCCAGCGGTGTAATTCACATTTTCTGAGCTGTAGTCCAAATTACACTCCCTACTATACTCTATTTGTTCCGTTTCGTGTGCCCATGGTGCTGCTACCGTGTTGCTCCGTTTTAAGTCACGTGATGGTGCCAAGACGTCACTTGTCATAACATCACGTGGTGTTGTCATGACGTGACGTGGTGTAGTCATGACGTCACGTGGTACAGGACTCGTTGGTTGACTATTGTCCCGGAATTTGTTCACTGTAGTGTACTTTGGTAGGGAAAACCCCTCAGCATACGTATCCATGTCATTATTCTGATGTTTTCTTACCGTGTCCCTGTTGTTCTCGTACATTCTCATCTCGGGAGAATCTGATTGGTCGACGTATGCATCACGTGGCCTATGTATCATGTCATGCTGCTCCTCTAATGTAGGGAATAGGGGACCGTTCTGTTGTTTCGGAGAGATTTCCCCCATTGAGAGTTGCGTTGAGAACCGGTTGTCATCTCTGCTTGCTCTATTTCTTTGGCTTGGCGCTGTATTTACATCACGTGCTCTTTTGGTAACGTCACGTGGTCGTGAGATGACCTCACTTGGTCTCCTGTTGACGTCACGTGGTGCCGCCATGACGTCACGTGGTGCCGCTATGACGTCACGTAGATTTGCTAAGAAGTCAGGTGGTGCTGCGTTACGTGGCAGTGTTCTACTCTCAGATTTAGTTTGGATGGCCCCATGAGTTTCGCTTCGATGTAGAGTCGTCCGAGACTTGCCTAAATCTTCACGTGATGTTTTGATAACGTCAATCGATAGACTTCGCTCCGGCTTGACGATGTCCCGTGAGGAGTTCCGTGGAGCTTTGATTGCGTCACGTGAGGGCCTTCGATCGGCCTGATACGCGAAACTAGTGCGAGGAGTCTTGGCTGATACAGGCGCGGGTGTGATGACGTCACGTGGTTTGGTGATGACGTCACGTGGTGGTGGGCTGCTGAGCTGTTCCTCTTCTATTCCTGACCGGTGAGCTTGTCTGTATGTAGCAGGAGACTGGTTGAAGACAAACGAGTCACAGGATCTGAAAAGAGGGAATTTATTAACCAGGGTAAATATGGCCTTACGGCTTTAACTTGTCCCCGACAAAATAATGCATAACACGTGACGGACGAGGGGGTCTTACACTCTAAAGGATCCTCACGAGAGATCATACCTGAAAGGAATGGTAGGGGTCTCCTGTTCTGGAGATATCCAAGGAGCTGATAATCTTTTAGTGATGGCTCCCTTTTTAGCTGACGAACTCACTGAATCCTCTTCTTCTTCAGATGAAGTGTCAGGGTCTAGTGATGGCACAATGTCACGTGGTGTCGCACTCAGCTGCTGTTCCAGCCTCAACTGAGTAGGTCTGTTTTGTTGTTCCACACTTACTGCTCTGTTTTGTTGGTCCATTCTTACTGCTCTGTTTCGTTGTTCCACACTCATTGATCTGTTCATCTGTTTGTCCAGTTCTGATTTGCTTCTCAGTTGATCAAGGGTTGTTGCTCTGTTTTTGATTGTGGTAGTTGCTCTACTTATTGTTCCCTCTTCTTCCCTGGGAGGTAATTATGGTAGTTAAATTTCCTGAAAACAACCAGTTTAGTCAAATAGAAAGTTCAAAATATAAATGGTCCGGAAACTTTAGTGTGTGCTATGGAGTTACCTGTACGGCTGTACTGGTTCATGTTTCTTAGACTTTGATAATCAGCAGCTGGCGTTACTTCAAACTTAATTCAGAAGTAATTATTTCCTGGATCCTTATACTGGAATCAGGCTAAAAACTCTGAACTCACACAAGTTGCCCTGGTCCAATGAGTTCTTCATGTTGACTTTTTGATGACGTCATACGAATAGGTGGTAACGTCACATCTGCTCCCAATTCCTGTCGACTCCGTTCCCTCCTCATGGATCTGAGTAGCTCTGGAACTGGAGGGGGCAGTGCAAATGCGTCTTCTGGCGCCGGGAGAGGCGCCACTTCTTCTATCTCCGTGACTCGTTCTGCTCTGCCTGTGGAGAGTTGCGTCATCTTGTGAGTTCTGTTGTGGTTATATCACGTGGTTTTGTGGTTATATCACGTGGTTATTTTATGCTTTCGCGTGGTGTTGTTATGAAAAAACTAAGTGTACTTTAAACTCCAATTTTATAACATTGTCGTCAAGTATTATGCACATTATTCCTGGGGAGAAATATTTTAAAACTCACCACTTCGTTTCTGAGGTGGTAGCGGTCTAACTTTGTAGGACTTTGCTCTGTCTGAACAGTACACAAACCACACTACTCCTGCTCCTCCTGTATATTAGTGTTTATTTAAATGGTAGTTAACAATTAACATAGTACTAATACGACAGGTAATTTTACAATTCTAATTCAGAAGCTAAGGTAAAGTCTCCAAAACGAGACTGAAGATGGAGGACTCTGTTGATCGCTGTAATTCGGTTTAGGAATCCAGTTCACTTAAAATCACTAAAAATGGCACTTCCATTCTCACTTTCACTTTCACTTTCACAGTACTAGAAGTGAACCTACCCATGATAGTAAGGATAACTACAGCTCCTATGATGAGGTACACCCAGTTCTGAAAGAAGAATCCCAGGAAGATATCCCAAACCACCGACATGTTCCTTCTAGAACCTTCTTGAGAACCAGTACCTCAAGCTCTTTCAGTAACCCAGCGAGTTTCACGTAACTTCAGATGAAAACATTGCACGTGTAGTTGCGGCCTGGTAGTAATAATTTTACTTTAACAATATCAAGAATAACGTCATGTTTTCCCCTTTTTAGACCTCCCCTTTTCCCCGTAGTTAAATTTAGAACTATAACGAATAAGTTACAGAGCAAAGAAAGATAAAATAATCACTAGTGCAAGGAAGTAGTTGTCGTGGACAAGTAAGGGGGAGAACTAGAACGAACACCGTAAGCATTATTAATTATTATTATCTGTGATGCGGTAGTTACGAACTTAGATAAAATCAGCGCTAAAGACACGTCAGAACACAATTAGGTGAACTAAATCTTACAGCAGTACAGTAAGTATCAAACCTGGCCTTGTTTGGGTAATGGTCTTTATACAAGTTTATATTTCCATTGTCTAAGACGACCCTACAAAATCTATTGTGTTCTAGAAACACAGATATTGTCGTATGGAAACAAAATACTCAATTTAGAGTTGGACCCTAATAGAACAACTCTATTTCATAGCTTTGACTTGGAATGTAACCATAGTAACCATAGTAACCATAGTATCTCTACTAATTACAGAGCTTACTGTAACCATGGTAACTGTAATTGAGGGGACTCTAATCTTAAGATCTACAGCTGAATTAGGGTCTAGACGAATACCATCAGCCTCTCTTTTACATAATATTATGTTAAGTTGGGGCCGGGCTGCCTCTTATTTTGCAGTTTTAAATACGCTAACGAGATGTGGCACATGTGTTTAGCTCAAGAACCTGCCGGTTCGTGAACCAGACTGATGAACTCGGAGGCAGCAAAATAGCCTATCATATGATTAGGAGTGAAATTGCTTACGATAATTTATGTTATGTGTTAACTTATATTTTTGGGTTCGACTTGAGTGACATGACGAAGATATTAATAATGACATAACCGCGCGCAGATTGTGGCGAGACAATTGTGTGAGAGGAACAAAAGTATACATCATCCAGTAGATTTTGTATAATGATTCCTTTATAACAGATATCATTAATGACATAACCACAGATAGTGGCGAACCCAAAATTGTGGTGGATTATGAAATTATCGTGCCATCAAAGTCAAAACCAAAACTGTTGTGGATTATAAAATTACCATGGCACCAAAGTCAAACACAAAATTATGGTAAATTATAAAATTATTGTGCCACCTAAGTCAAACCCAAATCACTATATTTGGTTTTGGCTTCAGTTAGAAAGGTATGGTAATAGTATGACAAATCCCCACATGCCGGGAAACTCAAGCCTAAAACTGTGATAGATTATAAGTAACATTATGCTAACTGCCACGTAACGGTCAGGTATTTCATATCAGCCCTCAGGAGAGTGTGTTGTTATTTAAGTTATAGTGTTTAGTAGGGAGCATCATGTTATTAAGTTATCTACCTTAGTTCGTTTAGTTATGGCGAGTTGAATTTAGCGGTTTTTCGGAAATTTCACCATATTTTTATTTTTACCCGCCACAATATTACCCGCCATAAATATACGAACTAAGGTATGTTATTAAAGTTAAACACACGTGTCAGACGATTAGGTAATTAGATGATTAGACAATTAGAGTCATGGGAGTGGAACAAAGTATACATCATCCAACAGATTCTTAATGATTGGGTCGTTAGTTCAATGGTAAGCAGTATGACTATTGTAATTAGCAATTGAACAACTAAAAAACAAAATTCAATCAAAGAAACACTAAACAGTCAAAGAACCATAAAAACAAATGGAGCAGGAGAGTATACTTTTATACAAAACATAGACAGAATTTAATTAAGTAAGAGTAAAACAAAGTTTAACTAAACAATACAGAGTTCCAGAAAGTAAGACAACGTTTAACAAAATAACACAGAGTTTAACGTCACTACACAGAGTATAACAGCCCGTTACTGTAACTGTGTTAGCAGTGTAACACTCACACTAACCAAAACAAGGTTAGTAACCTATAGAGGAATGTACTGATTTGATCAAACTCTGATCTGGTAAAAGGTATTCCGAATATTTGCTGGGTGGGTAACATTTCATTAGCTTAACACGGAAATTATCATTATATCGAGTTGGCGTGAAGCTAAAGTTTACTTTACTGTCCACTGTACAAATTTTACAAGTGTTACAAATTTTACAAAAATAGGTCTATATTAGAATTTAGATAATTTTAGATTAGCGGTACTAAAATCAAATCCGGAATCCAAAAAAGGAATTTGTTCCCAGAGAATGTGTATAAGGTGTACTAAAATAAAAAGCTTAAATTGTCTATTCTCCCCAATAAAAGGAACATGACCAATAAGAACAAGCATAAAGTCACAAGGAAATGAGGTTGAACATCGTCAACTGTGTTTGTATGTGATCATCAGGGTTGCTATGTAGAAATGACTTGCAAATTGCGGGATTCATATTAGTTTTCACTTCCGAGTTTTGATATTATAATATCCAAGCATGGGATGGAAGTGCTTTAACCAGGTGCCGCCAGTCCATACCCTGGCTCCACAATATGAAAGACTTTTTTAAATTCTAAATGAAAAGCTCGAATAATATATGATAATATTATTATTTTGACGTTATGCTAGCCAATATACATAGATACCAATAATTTGAAACTTACTTTAAATAAACTAGAAGTTTACAAGGTTCACAAGGAGTACAAGTTTTACAAGGTTTACAAGATTCACAAGTTTTACAAGGTTTTACAAGGTTTACAAGGTTTACAGGTTTTACAAAGTTTACAAAGTTTACAAGGTTTACAAGGTTTACAAGGTTTTACAAGGTTTACAGGGTTTACAAGGTTTTACAAAGTTTACAAGGTTTACAAGGTTCACAAGGAGTACAAGGTTTACAAGGTTTACAAGTTTTACAAGGTTTACAAGGTTTACAAGGTTTACAAGGTTTACAAGTTTTACAAGGTTTACAAGGTTTACAAGGTTTAAAAGGTTTACAAGGTTCACAAGGTTTTACAAGGTTTACAAGGTTCACAAGTTTTACATGGTTTTACAAGGTTTACAAGGTTTACAAAGTTTACAAGGTTTTACAAGGTTTACAAAGTTTACAAGGTTTTACAAGGTTTACAAGTTTTACAAGTTTTACAAGGTTTACAAGGTTTACAAGGTTTACAAGTTTTACAAGGTTTACAAGGTTTACAAGGTTTAAAAGGTTTACAAGGTTCACAAGGTTTACAAGGTTTTACAAGGTTTTACAAGGTTTACAAGGTTCACAAGGTTTACAAGTAGGTATAATGCGATAAACTACTACTAATCACAAAACTGGTCAATGAATTTAAATTCGTCCTCAGTTAGAAACTTAAAAGTAAACTAATCTGAAGACAGTGAATCTACTAGATATGATGCTTAGTGGTATTCGAAACCAGTATTGAGTATAAGCACGACTCCGGTGATTACAGTCAACAGTGTATTTAATTTTACATCAGTAATGTGGAGTCGAGCTCACGTAGCTCTTATAAAGAGCAAATTACCAGTGACGTATAACTACCAAAGAGCTAGGTATCGCATTTCAACCACCTATACTACTTTGAAAACATTATAAACGAAATATCTAGTGCTAACAACACATTGCCTTTATAGCGGGCACTACAGAATAACAACAACTAAAAGTAGGTCAAACCAACATAATGAAGATATAATGGTCGAAGTTTTATTGAAACTGTCGGCTGTGTCAGTAACTTGTGAGTAATGGTTACATAAACCGCCAAATATATAATCTGAGATCGCTTGATGATCGTCATGATAAAGATAAGATACCATACAATGTACACACCCTTCACATATTTACACGTAGCAGCGTTTAGGAACTGCGAAGTTTTATCAATATTAAATATTACATTAAGTTATACACTATCAGCTGGAGGACGGTTGTATGATTATCGGTCGGATAACTGGTCGAAAATTTGAAACTAAATTAGTCTTAAATATATCCGTGAATTGCTCATGTTTACTACCAGCTGATGCAAAGTTTACGAAGACATTTTTTGACAGTGATTTTTGTGACAAGCCTACAATCAAGGAATTACAGAGGAGTTTAGACATCTGCGACCTAATGAGTAATAACTATCTCTCACATTTTAGAAGAGCAAACAAAGGCCACAATGTTTGAGAATTTATAAACTTCAACAAAGTTAGCAAATACCACGCGTTATCACCCAGATTTAGATGTTAGTCTCGAACTGGCAGCTGCTCAAACAGTGTTTGCCAATCATGAGCCTTTTTATTGTCCTCATTAAGAGTCCAGGTTGGTGGGTCGCTCTCTTTTCAATTGTTAACTCCACACACGTATAGTGTAAGTTCCTAAATGCTAAAGACCTATTATAGCGATAGGTTCTGTGTTCTGAGCTTATACTCGAAAACAATACATGTTCAAATATGTTTACACCTTCAAGCTCTTAGCTCTTAGTAATAGTATATAGTTCTGTTATATAGAGTAAGCTGGCTGTGGACATTTGTTAAGATCCAGATCATTACCTGTAATTTAAGTAACCTCGGCTTAAGATCTAGATCTGGGTCTTATCAAATTCCGATTCAAATATGATATGTGTTTGCGTGTGGTGCATTGAAATAATAAGTAAAATAGCTCTGAGAATTAGAAAGACGTAAATGAACTAAAAGTTGGTGCTGATTAAAATGGAGAAAGGGAAACGACGAATGATAAAGAAAAGAAGGGAACAAAAATCGAACAATTCGGGTATCTGTCGGTGGACACTTATCTTTGTCATCATCTTTGTTATCATCGATAAAAATGTACACGGTCCAGACTTAGACTCATAGTTATCAGTGGTGATGTATGATAAAAAGAATTTACTGAATTGATTAAAATCCTTTATCTGACATATCTCCGTTGTAGCAGCGGTATTTTAGTGGGATATAAGTTATATCAATTATCACTGGTTCCGGTAATCGTAGCCCTAAGATCGTAGCCCTAAGACCGATAGCAGCTTAGTGGTGGATCAGGCCGGATGTGTGCCCATCGGTCAAATGCCTGGTCGAAAGTTTAAACAGAATTAGACTTAAATACCATGGATCATCTTCGGCTAAAAGCACATTTGCCCATCACATTCAAATAATTGTTCGTGTAATTTTTAAATTTGCCACATCATTGCCGTATGATTTATCTTTTGGTCGGATACGGTATCGCATAATTTGTATAATGAAAATCTCCTGCTTGCCCTACCGAATAACGGTGCTGCACTATCGTATTATCTTATTATCTCTGTGCTATAAGCAATGAGAATCTACTGTTTACTTCCGGCCAACTGTGGTGCCAGCGTGATTTTTACCATCACAGTAAGAATCTAGAAGTTCCGAGTAAAGCATCGTAAATCCAGTAATTAAACTTGTAAACCCAGATCACGTGCTTGTGTCTTGTTTATTAATCACTTGTCATGTGATATACTCCGCAGACAATTCGGCTGACAACCGCGTCACTATTCCGTATAACATGCAGACGTTGGGGCATGGTTTTCAAGCATGGCTAGACTCAGCTCTCAGTAAATATCTTGTTAATAAAGTTGATCTATGTATCGTGTTTAGCCTTGTGTTACTGAGGTTTTATTACTTGTTGACGCCTATTCTAGAGTTAACCATCAAGGTGTTTGCACCTTCTTTCTTCAATCCTTTCGTCTGAACTGCTGTGTTTCACTTGAGCAAGCAAGGTTTAAAATGGTATTGTGATTTACAATGTGATTTACAAAGTGCCACTTTTACACCTCTACTGCTTGTAGTCGGCTTTGTTTTAACAGGAGGTGGTGTAGCAGCAAGCATTACACGACTTGTTCCGCTACTTTCACGATAAGTCAACTTAGTTATTGGCTGAGAGATTTTATCTCGTAGTTTCTTTTTTCGAGAGTTTTTATTATTCATTTTAAAAGGTTTTGATTTTTCCGTGATTCGGACGGTAAATCACACTTAACACTTGTAATTATTTTATTAACATTAACAGTGCAGTGCTGGACTTGTTCTGCTAGTTTGACAAGGCGATTGGAGGAGGAATTTTCTTTCGTAGTTTATTTTTTATATAAACTGTTTATTCAATTTTGTAAACCTTGAATGAATAAAAGTTAAACATAGTGAAACTGTAACTACGAATTATCCAAATTGGAGTTCGAACTTCGAAGTTGTAGTATTGAGCTCAAATAATGAATTTTTAAGTTGAATAAATCACAGTTTCGCTCTGTCCTGATCATCATAAATAAATAGACTGAATAATCAATTGTCTGTTTTAACTCTTGTTTATTTATTGAGTCTTTAATAATTTGATAGAAATGTGACTTGTATACATCGACAACGAATCCTGCCCCTGCTTGAAACTTAACAAAACTGAGTTATGAATGGGAATAAAGAGATCAAGATATTCAAGGATCACTCAGTGTCATTCAAAGAAGTAAGTACTAAGTAAATCAATGAATATCATTTAGTGAGTTATAAAGTTCATAGCTCACTTACAATACGATATATCTTATATTTAATAGAAAGTGAAACTGATACAATAGAAAGTGAAACTGATACAATAAATTCCGACTATAACTTCAACCTCTTCAGTCTCCCGATTACAAGTATAAAGTTCCGCCCACCTCAGCAAAGTCCCCAGCCAACAAACGTAACAGGACCCCTCCTGGCCAGACAAAGTCACGATCTTTCAACTTGAGGTCTTCTCTGAGGCACTCCCAGAGTCTAACTTTCATTCCTGGTCACACGCTTAGTTCATATTGCGACCCTGGAGTCCTCACAGAGACAGCCAAGGCTCAGGTAGACATTCTTAACTACCTGAGAAATATTTAATTCTCTTTCCAAACTCTCAATTATTGAAGTACCTTGACGGTTTAAGATCTTTCATTTTGTCTACAACTTTTAAAGTTAAACGTGATTCCTTTTCGTTTAAAAACTGGTGTACTAAAAAAATGTGGTGCCTTATGATTCAATAAAGTAATATAACAGTTTAACTTTAAAATTCACGACGAACTTGTTAACTTCTCTTACTTTAACCTTAAAGTTAACTTTCACAACCCCAGCTAATGAGGGATGGGCTGGATAGAAGAGTCCAGGACCTCACCTCCACAGTCTCTTTTAGTCTGGATGTTTTTGAGGATATGGTGCCGGAAATGCTGCCTTATTACAAAGCTGCCGGGGAGAATCTTTTCTCTATCCCGAGAGGTTTTACTTCCTCTTCCTTAAAGCTATCTTTCACTTAACCTCGCAAATTTTCCGGTTTCAAACCAGGAACTTTCTAGATTTATTCATTACATTTGGAAGGTTGAATGCAGTATTTCACAAGGTCTGAACGTCAGGTCTTCAGAAAGCAGGGACTCCACCGTGTTTCTATAGCAGCAGAAACCTGGCAACCAAAGATTCGCGAGGGTACTGGCCTGTCTCTCACTTACCGTGTATTTTGAAGAACTGTGCTAAGAAACTCAACCACTCTCATACTGCTCCAATCAACAGCTCAGGTTTATTTACAATAGTTTCTCATCCTACATCGATCAGTGTTTTAAACTTGCAACTTTATTAGTTACATAGGTTTCAGTCATAATTGTCGCGCGTCTTATCTCATCAATTATATTTTTCATACAATATCACTTTCTCTTTCAATCTAATGGCCAACTTCCAAAATAACTTTAGTTCCTCAACCTCGCAGATTCCTGGAACAAGAAGCCGGCTATAGCCAACTCATCCCGCAGTACAATAGGGAGCTGTCCAAGTAGGCTATCTGTATCTTCCGCTAGGAGTGAGTACGAGGATGAGAGGTTCCTGAGTCAACTCAGTCCTTCTACTGTCGAGCTCATTGGTTTGTGAAATTGAAGAATTTAGATTTCAATTTAAATAGATAAATAAACATTTGGGTATATATAAATATTGACATTGATAATCACTTTTTATACAATATTTGTTATAAATTTACACATCTTTACACAATATTTGTTATAAATTTACACATAGTTCACTTCTCCAGCCTCTCCGTGTATCCAGATCTAGCCGCTCTAATTCTAAACTTTATTAGCTTGCTTGCCCGAAAAAAAGTGTTTTGTGAAACTTATAGAGTTTTTCATATGTATTTCTTCATATTCATTTTTCTTCTCCTTGTTATTTTGACGAAAAGTGCGTCAAAGAAAAGATATATTTTAAAACTAAGTCGGCACTACAAATAAATCACATTTAATGAAATGTATTAACATGATCATGCAATGTGGTGGATATTTAATATGTCTGTTAATGTTACTATACCGATACGATCTTACAGAAGATCTAGATATTATACATGCTATAAGTCCGTAAGTTATCATGACACTAATTTAAAAATGTTTTCCCCTCCAGTAAGTAGAATGACGCATGGCCTGCAACAAGAGAGACTCAAGAAGAAATTCAAGATCTCAACCAAAACTATGAGCGAGCCAGACCCTATTTCTATTTTCTAAATTACATTTGTCAGAGATGAAGTTCTGTTTTACGGCTCTATAGAGTTCTTTAGAGGTAAAGTTGTACTCTAAGTCCTCTAAGTCTGGCTCACTGGAGGTTATAAATGTAAGAACTGAGCAACCTCAACTTAAATTTATAATGAGGAACTATCATTTCTGTCAGCTGAATGACATATAGCACGTGTTTTAAGAATCAGAGTTGAAAGGACTAGATTGTAGAATGTAGATCAGAAATGCAGCTTCATTCAACCAGTAGGGGTCAAAATAACATTCCGATGGTAAAAATTAAATACGCTTAATATTGAGGTAATTTCCATGATTTAGAATTTCTCTAATACCTACATAATTTTTTGCGATAAAATGACTAAAAGCTTACAAGTTACAAGGGACTATATTTGACCCCTTGTAGTTGTACTATACTAGTAATAGTATCGGGTATTGTAGTCCTCTGCCCTACCCGATCGCTTATTAATTTATGTAGCTCTTAAAAAGAGTTCACCGACAGAGGAGAATTAACTTTGTTAGTCAAACCTCTTCGCGGATTAATGATACTAATCTCTCGGAGCCTGTGAATCTGTTGCAGGAATACGACTCAAGTTTGGTCTGTGTCTAACAATGTAGGTGACTGGTGATATGTACTTGTTGGATACAAGACACACTACACAGTGTCGTTAAACAATAGTTATTTAAATAATAGTTATTTAAAGCTCAGTATAAAAATCTACAAGTGGGAAATTATTATCTATTTTAATAATGATTTATGTGAAATGGCTTGAATATTCATTTTAAGCTCCTCGAGCATCTCAAACATTCGTTTGAAACAATGAACAGCTTCCTTTATATTGATAAAATACTTGAGAAAAGACAATATGTTTATTGTTTAATTAGTTTCTTAATGTTCTTTCGGCATCGACCTCACGTTCTACATTGTTAGAATAAATTGAATATTTCAGTTTGATTTTAGTTTTACTGTGTTTGAAGCTGTTGAAACATCGTTGAAATAATGATACTCATTACTCAAATTTTGTAGACTCAAAATTGGTTGCGATAGGCTTACGAAGAATCTGAATAAGTTTAGCTTGTGCTGAAACATTCACTTTCACTTTCACTTTTATCTCCGTCATAACTCTTTTGTCTCCATGAGTAGAGACGGGTTGTTGCTAAAGTTATTAACGCTGTTATGAGTGACTGTTTCCTGACTTAATACCGAGTCCCCCCTGGCCCCACACTTTCCACATTGAACGTTATGTCCATATAAGGTATTATCATCTCTCTCCACATTCCAATAATATGGTGCTCCAAACTGACGGTAATTCTTGCACTGGTTGCAATAGTAAGCATCTATGTTTGAAATCCTGGGCACTGCACTGTGGTAGCCGCGAATCATTTGTCCGTCGCATAGACAAGTGGACGTGTTTCCATGGTAACTTGCCGCATAACGAACAACCACGCGGTTTCTGCTGCTTGGCGGCCGGAGATTTACTGAGTTTATTCTTTCTTCTTGAGTCGAATTTGCAGCTTCTTCTAGTGTCTGAATTGATTTATAATCGTCAAAATTCAAGCTATTTAATACAAAATATTTAAATGCCTAAAAGTATGTTAGTTAAACCTTTACATATTTTAACTTGTTGTTGATCACATGTACGGATTGTATAAAAATACTAAACGTTGATAGTCAAAGTGATTTTCATAAGCACTGCGGATAAAATAACGCAAATATAAAAAAGATATAACAAAAGATATATATCGCATAGATATTGAAAATTGGTAAGTATTAGTGATAATCAAAAATTCTAATACTATAAGATACTAATATCATTATTTTGTTGACAATGAAAATGAGACAGAAACCAAAGTGTAGGAGTGGAGTGGAGTGGAGTGGAGTGGAGTGGAGTGGAGTGGAGTGGAGTGGAGTGGAGTGGAGTGTAGTGGAGTGGAGTGGAGTGGAGTGGAGTGGAGTGGAGTGGAGTGGAGTGGAGTGGAGTGGAGTGGAGTGGAGTGGAGTGGAGTGGAGTGGAGTGGAGTGGAGTGGAGTGGAGTGGAGTGGAGTGGAGTGGAGTGGAGTGGAGTGGAGTGGAGTGGAACCTACCCTCTCAAAGCGTATCCTCAGAAATAGTTGATAAACCTTATCGTAGAAAAGACAGCACAATATAAGGATGATACAGATAAGAACGGGAGCGTATATTCTCCAACTATTATCCCTGAACACTGGAAAATGGCCTTCGTCTGGGAATGTTCAGATTATTAATTGACAAGTTGCCAGTAAGGCAGAATTATGACATGGTGATCGGACCTAATCAACAAGAAAAAAAAAATCATATTTCGATTCATTTTTTCGTTAGTCTCCGTCTATGAAAAGTCACACTTTATGCGGTACACCCTGTATATGTCTGACAATCTTGTCTCGTGTGATGCCACCGGTAGATAGATCTATGATAAATATAGGTTAAGGATATTGATCTGCCTATTACATGTTAATAATTGAACTTACATGAACCACCCTTAGCTCCCCCTCCTCCTGATCCCCCTTTACAGTTGACTTGTCTCCAGAAACAAAGAAGAAGGATAAACGAATTTCCGTTACTATGACCACACTTGGTTACCATGGTTACACAATATATTGGTTAATATACACGCGCAGCAAACAAATTGGAGCAAACGCTAAAGTCTAAAAATGTTGAATTTTCTGGCCACTTGAATCTGTCACGTGAGTTTTATGTTAATTAAGTTAGATTTATGCGAAGACCTGTTTAATCCGTTTATATAGGACATTCTGAAATGTCCTATAAACTGCATTACACGGCAGGGTACATAATTGCTTACATATTAACATATTCAGGCACCAGAGCACAAAAAAAGTAATATGGCAGTAAGTCGCTATTTTTTCATTAAGCTAATTATCTTAGGTTAGCTCGATTACATGCTCCATACAATTAAAGTTGAAGAGGTGCCAACAAGAATCTGGACCACAGAGCCGTAGCATGTTATCGTCTTCACCTGCTCTGGGCCACTTCTAATGTCTATACTTTTAAAACTGACTGCAAAATAAAACCCAATAATTTTGCTTCGAATTTTTGCAAGGAATATTATCTGTTTATCTACATTAATTTGAAGTTTTAATATATCGTTCCTATTACTAATTCAAAACATTAAAACACTTTACTTAAATTCGGCTTATTAATCAGCAAGTCAAAATATTGTCCTAATCTTCACGTTATCAATTGACACTGAGAATGATAAAGAACCCCTTATCAAATAATTGATCTCACTGCAAATTGTTTACATAATTTAACTGAAATTAAAGAAACCTCAACCATATAATCACAGATCAAAGATAATGAAATAACAATATTTAAACCTAAATAAATAACAAATGACGTCATGACACGTGGTGTGACGTCATATCACGTGTCTATTTCCCGTACATAATGTTCACAAAACACAATCTAAATGAATAACATGAATAATTAACAATAAACCTATCACGTGACAGTGTTACTAAAAATAAATAAAGTAAACCACCGTCAGCACAGCTGGCAGACACATGGCCAACAGAATGAAGACCACCACGTGCGAGTCCTCAAACGTGCCACTACTTTCAATTTCTCTTTCAACTAATTTGGTTTCTCTTTCACTTTCTTTCCTCTCCAGAGGAGGTGGTTTCAGTTTGACGAGGAGAGTCTGGGAGAAGGGTCCATACTCTGGTGGATCGGTGGAGTCTCGTTTTACTCTCACTTTAAAAGAGTAGGTAGTTTCGGGGAGAAGCGAGGTAGTGAAATTACGATCTAGTCCTTCGTATATCTGCAGATATACACGGTTAAATTTGAAAAATTTTATTTTTATAAACAGCAATTTTTGGATGAAACTGTTATAAACTTTCATCAGGAAGATGGTAGTCACGTGACATAAAAATGCTCTCTGATTGGCCGAGAAACTTACCGGAGTGAAAGTATCACCATCAGTGGAGTGTAAGATTTGGAACAGCTCCTCTTCTTGTAGTTTATCCTTCACTTGCCAGGAGATGGTCAGTTGGTTCTCTTTTATCGACTTGTACACCTCTGAAAAGAGGGTAAAAGAGTGTTATATGCTGTGTTATCAGGAGTACCATTCATTTAAAATGATCATAACTACTTCACGAATACTGCAGTAGTTGTACAGCAATACTAAGGCAATGGGACTACTGCACACAGACATCGAACGCTGTAAGAAGATGACGATCAGACCTCGTTAACTTCACGAATACATATAGAAAAAATGTCCTTGCGTTTTCGACTAACTAGTGATAAAATATATCCTTGTGTTTGACTAACTAGTAATAGGAGGAGGAGGGATGGAGTCAGTAGAGAAGGAAGCTAGTAACCAGGGTCCAGTACCAGCATTGTTCACCCCACATACACGTATCCTGTAGTCTGTGTTGGCAGATAGTTTGCTTATCTTTACTTGGGGCTTGTTCCCTTCGTATACCGATATAAAGTCATCACTGAAGTTTGACTGGAGTTAGTGTCGTGGAATTTCGACATTTTAGCGTTATTTCTAGCGAAGATACTGAAAACTTTTTTTAAATGAATGACATGCGGATAGATCATAAAACTGAAGTCTGAAACGGAAACTGCCCGAATTTAAACAAAACGAAACTGTGTGATCCAAAACTACTCACGACTCAGCACTTGCTCGTTCCAGTAGATAAGATTTGACAGAGCGCACACTAGTCCAGCCGACTTTCAGGAAGTTGTGACCACGTGATGAGAGAAGTATTGGACCGGTCAGGGCTGGGGGAAGAGGAGTTCCTGTGACCACTACTTTAGCAGAGCTGTGGGGAGGGGAGAAGTTAAACCTGACCATGTGATTCAACCTTTATCTAATTCTGCTATATTACTATATCACAGTGCTGGCAAGCACGACCGTTGCATTTATTGTGGGTATACTATGTACCCCCTTTACTATCATACCCCCTTTACTATTATACCCCCTTTGGTACACGTTACACGCCTCTTTCGTGCACGCGAAGCGTGCACTCCGGCCGGAGGCAGCGGCCGAAGGCCGCCGCCTCCGGCAGGAGTTTTTCAGGCATTAAGACTCATCGGAAGTCGTTCAGCAGATTTATTTTTAGTTGAAAACATTCTAATTTAATGTCAAAGATGACAGGAATAAAAAATAGTTATGTTGAGATTTTTAAGAAATTTGCATAAAATACTCGCCAGCACTGTTATACGAAATTCGGTAAAAAACCCAAAATCGCCATATTCAGGTGCCTTAAAAACCATGTTAAAATTGAGTTAAAGATCTGAAATTTTTCAGGGCGTCTAGACGTTGACCAAATCGACTGCAAAAAAAGTTTCAGGTTTCAGGAGCATCGGGAAATGGGTTTTCTAGAACCCCTGTTTTACGACAGATTGTCGGGACATATACAGATATACATACAGATATACATATATATTCAGGGATAGACGCTTTGCCAGTCAATTGTAGCCTGTATTTAAGTGTCCATAGATTCAAAAGTATAAAAGATACAGCCATTTCCGACCACAGGTCTTGCAAATAATTGTTTACACTTTAGTTTACATTGTATAAAAAATTTATTTGACGTCATTAACACCCCTTGATGACGTCATCAAGTTAACCGTTTTTAAAACTTGATTTTTGACAAAGTAATAACTTTTAAAATTAATTTTAACCCATTAAGGAGTAATTTTATTCAAAATCTGAGGAAATTTTCATCTTAGATAATTGTTCAAGCATTCTGAAAATCTACCGGAAAGTTTTTCTAGCTTGCTCCTTCATAAAGATATTTGTCATTGAAGTTTGTGCTTTTTTGAAGAATTATTTTATAAAAACGTCAATTTTGCGATTTAGTATTCTTTGGTGTTGGGCCATGCCTTGGGTTGTGGAGCTCATTTCTGCTTCCTATAGGTATAAATTGTGCATTAGGCTAGTTTTAAAGTTGAAAATCGAAAAGTTGCACACGTGGGGACACGCCCAAATTGATAGAAAATTGCTAAAATCACTGAAAATTGCTGTTTTCGTCATTTTCTGTCAACTTTAGAGTGCCGTTGTGATTACAGTTCTTCTTGAAATACTTTGAAACTTTGCATGCTTATCAAGCTATATATAAAACAATTACATGCAAAAATTTACGGCGATTCAATATTGGATGCGCATGCAACGTCCGCTCAAAGTTTGCACGTGCGAAAGGTGAGAATTTTGCTCATTCGTGATTTCCAACAAATTCTGCTTTGCCACGACAGTTTAATGTCATTATATATGAATTTAATGTCAACTTGAATGAGTATTAAGTGGTATATTCAGTCAGTGATGGACCGATATGCTTACCTAAACACAAGGAAATGTTTTTAAAGGAAAAATTTCGAAATCGTTGAAACTTCCTCCTTATTATAATGAAGATATCAGTTTATATTTCGACTTTATAAAGTACCCTGACATTATAATCAAAAAGAGATGATATTTTACCAAAACCCATAATCATGGGTAGAGTGGACCGCTGCCAGTGTCTCTCTTTCCCAAACAAAAGGAAATGATATTAATTTGATTGACCGTTCTCAAATGCAAAATGATACCGAGAATGAAATCGGTCGCTCGCTTTTCCCATTCATTTACAATTGTAATAGATTAAGAAGAACTACCCAAAGGCAGCTGTACTCGGCAATAAAGATTCAATAAACTTCAGCTAATGCAATAAGTAATAACTACCACCCT